CTTGAACGCTGATTCTTGCTCCTCCACAAGTGAGGCTTGTGAATGTGAGTGAATGATTTGTATTATTGTCTATTACTGTCATTTGTTTAAACTGAAAAATAAATTCCTGAAAATAGCCAAGGTGGGAATCTTTTGACGGTCTAAAATCGGTTTTTGCACATGCAGTTAGAGGAAGGAGCTTTCTAGAAGGAATTGGTATTTCTCTTCTTGGGCCATTGAGATATAAATAATCTCCTGGGCTCTTGGGAACTTTAATCATCTGATCCCTGAGAGTGAAGGAAAGAAAAAAAAAGGACTTTTAAAGCTCTATAGGGCTAACTATGTTTGGAAAATGTATCTATAATAGTCTTTCCAGATTTTGGTAACTTGCAGCCAAACTAAATTAAATGAAGAGAATTCATTGACTAGCTGGGTCATTTCAGATAGGATCAAATACTGGCACATTGATTGCTGGGCAGGTGTATGTTTATCTACCTTTGCCTCCTTAGGAGAGGACAACTAAAGCCTATTTTCCAATCAGGAAACGCGTAACAAACATTTCACAATTACTTGCTTCTTGATTTTTGCCAGAGATTTAAGGTTTTTAAGGGTTCATATTATAATCAGTCATAATTCTGGTTATTGTAACCAAGTTTCTTTATCAATGACATTGTAAGCAGGTGTTTTTTAAAGTTCTTTGCCATGTATAAACAGTTGTTGTACTCTGATGCTTTTACAAAAATGCTTCCTCTTCAAGAAGATTCATAGGAAAGACCTTTGGCAAGTACAAGTCTGCTAAATCTCAGATCATACCCTTGAACGGGGTAAAAAATTAAGGAATTTTAAGGGAAAAACTGACGGCGACATAAAAAGCTAACAAAAGGATTGGTTACCGAGTGAACTGGTGAATATGGTTATAATTTTTATGGTTTTTGTCTGGAATAGTACTGGTTTTGATCAGTTTCTCAACTATAGAGAAGTCCTTCTCCTCAAATTAGTTATGACTTAGAGCGATTTGGTAAACTACACCTGTGGATAGAATTGAAACATTTTTCTTTTCTCTCTTCCTGGTCTGTCCAGGAACTGGAAGCTCTTTATTTCAGAGCAGCCTTATCAGGTGAACGGGAAAGACTGTCTCCTGGCATATGCAGGAACCACAATATTTGGGGGACCTCTAGAAGAGAGAAATCC